TTTAATGTGCCAATCCTGAGGCTTGAATTCAGGGTTTGGGTGTTATCCCTGAGCTCTTTTTGTTCAAAGCTAATGCTTTACCATTGAGCTACAGCTTAACTCCTGGCTTTAGGGTCATTAATTGGAGATAAGAGTGTCACAGACTTTCCTGCCCAGGTTAGGCTTTGAGTCACAATTCTCAGATCTCAGCCTCCTGAGTAGCTAGAATTACAGACATGAACCACCCAGGCCCAAGTAGGAAGATAAATTTTAGTTTCGGAAATTTGGGTTACATAAAAGGAGTGGCTCATAGACTGGTATTTGAGTGATGGCTAGACTTAGTGAGAAGCAGGTGAGGGGCAGTGAGATAATCTAGATAGATCAATAATATGATCAAGAGCCATAGCACTAATGTCCAGGGTGCAGAAAAATGACCAAAAGCCTGTGGGAGCTGGGGCCAGAGGGGAGAATCAAGGAGGAGAATTCCAGTTTGACGATGTTAAGAGTTAGGCCAGGTCAGTTAATAATATTTCTTCTAAGAAAGTTGGACTTTCTTCTGTAGAAAATGTGTAGGTTGTGGAAATGAATTCTGAACAGGTAAATGTACAACAGGTAACTGTGCTTTGGGAAGCGGATCCATTCTAATTGGAGGGCAAGGACAGGAAGGCACCAGGAAAGGGCTAGAAGGGCAGCTCCTCATTTTATGCTAACAGTATCTATATGTGTGATGTCTCCCACCAGAATGTGTCTGTGGCCTTCACCCAGTCTACATTCATTGAGTCACAGTTGAGTTTGGTAACCGAAGTGATGGGAGTAACCACAGTCCCGCTTAAGAGTTTCTCCTAAGACTTAGGGAGGTTTGTCATTGTTTTGTTTTTCTTACTGATTTCTGACTTATTAGCATACATGCACAGGGTAAATGTTTGAATAGGAAATTAGGGTGTATGTCCCACATCTTCAGCAAGTAACTCTATACTTTATTTGCTCTTTGACAAAGGTTATTCCTTTCCTATGTCTTTAACTGATGAGTAATTTGCCTTCTTTTTTAAAATTTTAATTTTATTGTCAAGGTGATGTACAGAAGGGATACAGTTACATAGGTAAGGTAGTGCATGCATTCCTTGTCTAACTTGTTACCCCTCCCTCATTTTTCTCCCTCTTTCCCTCCCCCCACCCCAAATCCCCAAACTTGCCTTCTTATCTTGAAGTTTCAAGAATTCTAATAAGGAGATTTAAGGGGGAAAAAAATCCATCTTGGCTTTTCTTATCTCAATAAGGAGATATATATCTATATCTATATATAGGTATATATAGGTATAGATATATAGATATATGGTAGAAATGGAGGTACAGAACCAGAAGCCATGAAATCTGAACTTGGGTATATGACCTCGAACAAGTCACTCACCTACTGCAGACCTCAATTACCTTACTTTTAAAATGTGAATTATGATGCAAGTTCCCAGCTCCTATGCAAGTTTACTGCGAAGTAGCTCATGTTTACTTATTTCTCAATCATATTATGGCTCCCCAAGGCCCAGCAATGGTCCAGAATCTGGGAAATAGCAAAGAACAACAATAAGCAAAAAAATAAATAAATAAAAGACAACTGGAGCTCATGTTGTAGAAATGCACATGAATTTCTTTATTAAAAAAGCAGAAGAACATATGAAGTGCTATTATTATTCACTACCAGCTTGCTCCCCTCTAACTCTGGGCAACGAGTCTAATTAAATTGGCTATGCTAATCTACTCACACTAAACTGTATATTTTTCTCCACAACAAGGTTTCCTTTGCCTCATTAGAACTTCATATTCAGGATATTGTAATTACACCTCACAGCACAAAAAATATGTATGCATCAGTAGCATTCATTTGGAAGCCCTTCTTGTTTGGTTTTTGCTAGAACCCAGTAAGCTCATGAGAAATTAAAGATGGGAGGTTACCGTGCACCCCAGGACTTTGTTGCATGGAAGCACCTGTAGAAACTGCTTAAGGGAGCTGATCTTCAGCTCCAGCCTCTGGATGCGGCGGGGGGGGGGGGGGGGGTCTGGGAGAAGGTTTGAAGCTTTCACTTTACGCCATTTGCCTTTTAAGTATATGCATAAGTGGCCCATGCAAGAAGAGACAGTATATTAGGGAGAATGAAACCTCAAAGTACTCTGGTGCTGCAAGGCTAAAATGACTCTGGCATGTCCATGCTAGTATGCTGGTGGGGCATACTTGAGTGACAGGATCAGGGGTAGCATGGTTGTTATCCATTTGTCCCAGAGACTAAAGGTCCTGTCCATTTTGACTCTTAAATTTGTAAGACATAACTGAGAATACTCCTCCCTGTTCTCTATCTCCCCTTTGGGTTTATGTGCTAGTTATCAAAACTTGTTCTTTTTTGTGTGTGTGATGGTACTTAAGATTGAACTCATGATTGCTAGGTACTCTACCACGTGAGCCATTCTCTTAGTCTTTTTTTGTGCATCTTTATTTCTTTTTCGGATAGGTTTCATGCTTTTGCCCCTACTACTAGCCGTGGATCTCAATCCTCCTACTTCCACCTCCTGAACAGATAAGATTAGAAGTATATGCCACCCTGCCCACTGCTTTGGAATGAGATGATATTAACTAATTTTTATTAAATATAGTGCACAGTCCATAAGATGCACTACTTAAAGTATATGGTTCCGTAGTTTTTAGTGCGTTTGTTTGCAAGATCATCTTCTCTTTCTTCTTTTTAAATTTTCTAGGAAAAAGGAACCGCCCCCTCCCTCCACCCCAGACTCACAGATCGATCTATTTACTAAGCACCTAAAAATTTCACAATTAATTTCCTGTCCTCCTGGAATTTGCTTTCTAGTCAGGAACCCAACAATGGATGAATAAAATATGTAAGCCAGAGTACATTTAAAATATAAGTATTTTATGAGTAATAAGTGGCCTGGAAAAAAGTAAGAAAAGAGTTGGGTATGCTAATTGGCAGTAGGCAGGAGGGAAATCACAACTTTAAGTTGAAAGTTGGGTGACATCTCATCAAAAGGCAACACTTCATCAAAGATTAGAAATAATACTTTTAAAATATTTTATTATTATCATAAAGGTGATCTATAAAGTGGTTACAGTTACATCAGTCAGGTAAAGAATTCATTTCTTTTTAGAAATGTCACCCCTTCCCTCTCTCTCTCTCAGTTTTTCCCTCTCATCTCTGCCCACAAGCTATCTAGTTCATTTTCAACATGGTATCTAGTGAGTACCACTGCTGCATTTGTTCATCCTTTGTCCCTCCATTTCTGTACCTCTCCTTACCCTCCCAAAGACAGATAAACAAACAAACAAAACAAAAAGGAAGCAAACAGCAACAATGAAAAACCCTCTTGTTTCCATTTTCTGGAGTTCATTTCAATAAATATTACTTTATATGATCAGATACACATAGCCATTGGGCCTTTGTGTTCCTCCCCTGGGAGTATCCTCCTTTTATTTCCCATTAATTTATCATGTCTCTGTGTATTTTAGGTCCAGTTTCTGCATGTGAGAGGAAAAGATGGGCCTTTTGTCTCTCTGAGCCTGATTTACCTTATTTAACATGATTTGTTCTAGATCCAGCCATTTCCCTAAAAATGGCATAATATTATCCTAGAAAGAATAGTTTTTTTAAAAAAAATCATATCCTCATCTTGGGGAAGAGCATCTAGGCAGAGCAAACAATAATAGCACTAAGTGCAGAGAGCCTGAGGTGAGAAGCATGTTGAAGAAACACCCAAAAGGCGTGGTGACTGCTGACTATAAGGAGGGGAAATAACGAAAAACAACATCAGAAAGATCAATGGTGGTCAAATCAAGAAGGGTCTTAAGTCACCTGTAAAGACTCAATAAGGTGAGAAGCCATTGTAGAGCTCTGAGCAGAGGAAAAGTCATGAACAGACATAATGTGGAGCAGGACCATGTTGGCAACTGGGCAGACTAGAGTGGGCAAAGGAGGGAGAGAAGCCTAATTAAGAGGCTGACTGCCCCAGGAAGTGAAAGCAGACAAACAAACAAACAAAAAAGCTAGCTGCAGCTGGGCACTGGTGGCTCACGCCTCTAATCCCAGCTGCTAAAGAGGCTGAGATCTGAGAGTCAACGTTCAAAGCCAGAACAGGCAGGAAAGCCCATCAGACTTGACCACCTACAGGCCAGAAGTGGTACTGTGGCTCAAGTGGTAGAGCCTTGAGAAAAAAAGAAAAAAAGCCCAGGGACAGCACTCAGGCTCTGAAGCCCTATTCAAAACTGCTAATTTTTGAACTTGGAACTGGAATTATCTGAGGAGTTGTAACAAAGCTTAATACCAGCTTAATACCTACCCTCCAAAGATTCTGATTCTATGGGTCTGGGGACAGCTGAACATCAGGATTTGTGCAAAATGCCAAATGAAACTAATAATACAGCAAAGTGTAAGAGCGACTGATGTACCAATTTCCTTATCCACCCCTTTATGAGGCCCTAGAGCTTTCTTATGCCTTAATGTGGTTATGTGTGTCCCTGTGCTTCCCGCCTCTATTAAACTCTACATCTCTTAAGAGTAAGAACTGGTTTTTAATTCAAATCTTTTATCACCTTTTTCCTAACAAAACAGCCATAAAAGAGCTCAATAAATATTTAGTGAATGGATGATGAATAAGTGGTTTACTTGTAATCTCAAAATGTTCTCTTAAAACTACAAATGTGGCTATTGTCCAAATCTGAAAACTAGCTGGACATATTCTCAAAATTGTGGAGTTGTTAACCTCTTCAGTTCTAAGGCCGAACCTCTGAAAAATCAGCAGCTGGTGACTAGAATGTGTTTTCTAACTGAGAATAGAGAGTCTGGGTACCTGTACAGTCCACTCTGCCATTTCCATGGCGTCCTTACAGAAAGCTGAAGCTTAGAATCTGAAGACTCCAGAGGCCAATACAAAAGGAAGCCACACATAATTCCCATGGTGTATTCAGAATTTCTGGCTGAAGCATGATGGTGGTATTGTATCTTTCTCTCCAGAGTACCATTGTGATATTTATGGGGATTGCTGTCATCACTATGAAGGCATCTGTTATTGAAATGTTTCTTGGTAAGTACTTTGTATGTGTATCTGCATACTCTTTTAACATTTTTCTAAACTTCAAAGTTTTAAACCAAAACAGAGCTCAGAATCAATAATGATGCATCTTTTTTATTGTAAATGTGATGTACACAGGGATTACAGTAACATAAAGTAAGGTAATGAATATGATGTATCTTTTGTGATAAATATGTTGAAGTCTAAGTGAGAAGGTTAGTGTAAATCACATTCAGGATGCCTATGAAGATATACTTTTAAATAAAGTAAATATATGTCTCCATATATTATACATAACGCATACCTTTGAATGTATTTTTCAGCAAATAGGAGATACAGAATATTTATAAGATTCTGAACGTAGGAATTTATTTTTTGCCACTCCCCAGGCTTAAACTGTCCCTGAGTTTCTTCTGTTCAAGGCTAGCATTCTATGACTTGAGCCACAGGGATACTCTGGCTTTTTCTGTTTATTTGAACCTAGGGCTTTATCCATGTTAGGCAAGCACTCTACCACTAAGCCACATTCCCAGCTCTGAAATTAGGAATCTTATTTCTTAATTTATCAAAAAAGAGAAAGTTTTATCACTGACATGTATTTGATTACTTATACTATTGGTAACTCTCTTTTAGAGATAAAGCACTCTACATGGATCTATTTATCACTAGAAAATGTAATTCAGGGTAAATCCTTGAAGAGTAGCAATTGACTATTAAGCATAGAAAGCCCTCAAGACTAGACCAAAAATTTGTTATTATAAATGAATTCAGTAAAGTTACAGGACACAGAGTCAACATACAAAAATCCAGTAGAGTTTCTGTACACTCATAGTAAACCTTCTGTAAAAGAAACTTTTAAGTATTCTCTTTTACAATATAATCAAGGAAAGAAAAATTGAGTAATAAAATTAACCATGAGATGAAAGAGCTGTACACAAAAAAATACAAAGCATTGAAGAAAGGAATTGAAGAATGCACAAAGGGAAAACTAGCCCTTATTCATAATTTGGAGGAATTGACACTGTTAAAATATTCCTATTATCACAATCAATCTTAGATTCATCTAATCATCATCAAAATAGCAATGATATTTTTCACTGAAATAGAAAAAAGTAAACCTAACATTAGTATGGGCCTATTAAAAAATCCTAAATAACCAAAGTAATCTTGAGCAAAATGTATGAAGCTGAAGTCATTACAGTATCCGATGTCAAAATACACATTATGACAAGTAATAAAAGCATCATACTAGCATTGTGAAAAGACACGTAAACAAACCAATGGAATAAAAGAAAAAGCTCAGAAATAAATGTATGCACTTACATTCAATTGATCTTTAACAAGGATGCCAGGAACACACACATAAGGAAAGGACAATTTCCTAAATAAATAGTGTTAGGAAAATGGGATACCCACATGCAGAAGAATGAAGTTGGACCTTTATTTACACTAAACACAAAAATCAACTTAAAGTTGACTAAAGATTTAAACACAAGACTGGAACTCTAAAACTACTTTAAAAAATTCTTTAATGTAGGGAAAATCTTTACATTGGCCTAGACAATGACTTTTTGGATATGACCCCAAAAGCAAGGCAACAGTAACAAAAGCAGACAACTGAAGTCTCCTAAAACTTGTTCCATTGCCCAGCAACAGAAGCAAGAAATGGAGTACAAAGACAAGCACTGGAATGGGAGAAAATACTTGCAAGCCATATATCATGTAAAGGGCTAATCTCCCAAAATAAGCTCAGCATGACTCATAATGAGGAAATGAATAACAAAACTACTGAGGTATCACCTACACTCCTTAGGATGGCTGTTATGGAAATAAAAGTTAGCAAGTGCTGGTGAGGTTCTAGAGGAGAAGCCATGTCACACTGATGGTGGGAATGCAAAATAGTATGGCCATTGTGGAAATCTGTAAGAGAGTCCTCCAAAAAGTAGAAAATAAAACTATCATGTAGTTTAGCAATCTTACTCCTGGAAATAGATGATAGGTAGGTAGATAGATAGATAGATAGATAGATAGATAGATAGATAGATAGATAGATAGATAGATAGATAGATAGAAAGAAATTGATAGATTGATTGATCGATTCATTCTCCAAAGGGAATAAAATCAGTACATTAAAGAAGCAACTAAATTGCCATGTTCAATACAGCATTATGAATAATGATATATATGTATATATGCAAAATGTATGTATATATACAATGGCATATTATTCAGTCTTTAAAAAGAAGGAAATCAGCTGGGCACCAGTGGCTCACACCTATACTCCTAACTACTCAGGAGGCTGAAATCTGAAGATCGTGGTTCAAAGCAATCCCAGGCAGAATAGTCCCTGTGAGACGTTTCCTTCCAATTAACTTTCAAAAACCAGAAGTGGCACTGTGGCTCAAAATGATACAGCACTAGCTTTGAGCAAAATAACTCAGTGTCAGCACCCAGGCCCTGAGTTGAAGCCCTACAATTGATACCAAAAAAAATCTTGCCATTTGTAATATGAATGAAATTAGATATATTATACTAAGTGAAATAATCCAGACACATAAAGACAAATAGGACATGATCTCAGTTACATAGAGAATCTAAACAATTTAAAGTCATAGAAGCAAAAAGCAGAACAGTAGTTGCCAGGGTCTAGGGGAGCAAAGGGCAGAGGTGTTAGTTGGTCACAGGTCAGGAAGTTCTGGGAGTCTAATATCTAGTATGGTGACTCTAGTTTCTATTGCTGTATTGTTTACTTGGAATATGTTAAGAGAGTAGATCTGACATGTTCTCAGACATGCAAAATCACATATGTGAAGGGAAGGATGTGTTAGATTGATTTAATAACTTCACAAAGTACACATACATAAAAACATCATGATGCACACCAGCAATTTTACTTGTTAATTACATCCTAATAAAACTCCAGTTCACAAATTCTTCTACACCCTCACATGTCTGTACCCTGGCATCTCCTCTGCCTGCTGGTCTTCCATGCCCCCCCACACACACACAGCTGGGTACTGTGTCTTCCTGGGTACTTGGTCTTCCTGCCCAAAATCTTTACTTGTCCACTCCACTCATTCTTTACCATGGCCCAGTTCATGTCCCTAAAGCCCCCATGTGATAACTCTCTTCATTCACTTCTCAGCTGGCTCCCCTTAGCCTTTAAGATGGAGCCCCAGTGACGTGTCTTCCATGGGAGGTCTTCCTGAGGTGGCTCTAGCTGTCCACCTCTGCTCTCCTCTCTCACCACAGCCCCCACCCCGCAACTGAATTCTAAGTTCCCTGAGGGCTGCCGCATTTCATTTCCAAGCCTTTGAGCATACCTCTTTGCTCCCACTCCCTTACATCTTCACAAGTCCCATTTGGTCCTTCGGGGAGCCTCTCTCTGTCCTCCTCCATTACATGGTCATCTTCCTTTGTGCTTCCTGGATGCATGAAGTGATTCTCATCTTGGCTGCATTGTATGTGCCTCATCAATCATCTGAACTCCTCCCTGGAAAAAAAGAAAAAACCTGTAAAATCATTGAGGACACAGATTGTATCTTACCCATCGTGTATTTCCAGTACTTTCTACAAATCCAAGGCACTTAAGTAAATCATTGACTCTAGTGATACTGGGTTTTTAGAGTATCAGAGTCATCCAATGATTCCCTTCCAACTCTCTAAATTAATGTCAATTCTGTGAAAACATGAACAGATCTATGTATCTATCAACATGTTTATTTGAAATATCTTTAAATGTATGACACAGTCTTGTGTCGACAGATTGTCTGGGGAGTGTCATACATGAGCAGCAGGAGCAGGTGCAAAGAAGAGGCCAAGACTGTTGCCAGCAAACTTGAACTCTGGTTCTAAGTGCTCACCCTAGATAACTAAAGATTTAGCCAAGTGTTGACTTTGACCTAGTTCTTCTTTCCATAAACTAAAGGGACAACTCCAATGCTCCCCAAGTATGCTATGGTTTGGAGCCTATTTTTATATTTTATGTGATTGAAGCAAAGTTAACAGTTAAATCTTTGTTAAAAAAAAACTCTGATAATATCACAATGGTGTCTATAACACTGCAGATGTAAAGTCACACTTAAAGTCTGACTTTAATATGACCAAGTTAAAGATAACTTCATTGTGTTGTCTATTCTTATTTGTGAAAGAAACATATGCTGTATAAAATATTTTTATGTATAAAGAATATAAAAGGAGGAAATACAGAAAATATAAAGTAGAAATCATTACTCTATCATTATTAACGTTTCGGTACATTGTTCCAGCTATTTCTCTGTGCATATTTTAACTGTCAGGATCATTCTTAAGGTTAGACCTGAGCACTTCACAGGTAATTTAATATTACTCTACACACCATTTGTAATAATAGGGCTTCCCTATGGTTGGGATATTTCCAACATTTCATTGTTTCCAGATTGCCATTTGAAAAGCTATAATGGGCATTTTTTTACATAAATCTTTCTGGTTAGTAATGATTATAACTTGGGATCTATTCCTAGGAGTCTACTTTCTTAGTCAAAAGATATCACTTTCAAGGCTCTTGAAACTATTATCAAATTGTTTTCCAGAATGGCTCCATCTGCTTAGACTTCTCCAATAGGAACAATTCACCAGCACCATGCCCTGCCAGGATCAATGTGCCATATTTCCCACCAGGATAGTGGAAAACATCTCCTCATTTTGTGTGAACTTGCCTTTAAAATCATTAATTACATTAAACATTGCTTTAAGCATATTCATTTGCATATTTCTCCATTTGTAACTTATCTATATGATCAGTGTTTTAGACTGGATTTAAAAACAATTATACTTCACTTTTTCTGTTTTTGATGGCACTGTGGATTAAACTCATGGTAGAGAACCTACCTACAAAATAATCAGTACAAAAAGGGACTGGAGATATGGCTCAAGTTGTAAAGAACCTATCTTGAAAGCTCAAGGCTCTGAACCTAATCCCAGCAATATATATATATATATATATATATATATATATACACATACATATATATGTATACACATATACATGTATGTATTATAAACACATATATAGTCCTTTAATATTTGATTTTGAACTTTAAAGCCCTATTAAGTATGAGAGCTTTTTACGTTATTCAAAATTGGAACAATGGGATTTCTTAAACTGAAACGTGTATGTTGCAAAGTTGGAAAATCATAATTGCCTTGAAATGATATATTCTAGACTTCATTTCCTCAAGATTTTTTTTTTGGTCGGTCATGGGGCTTGAACTCTGGGCCTGGGCGCTGTCCTTCAGCTCTTCAGCTCAAGCACCACGCCCTACCTTTTGAGCCACAGTGCCACTTCTGGTTTTCTAATGGTTTATTGGAAATCAGAGTCTCTCGGGCTGGCTTTGAACTATGATCCTCGAATCTCAGCCTCCTGAATAGCTAGGATTACAGGCGTGAGCCACCGGCGCCCAGCTCCTCAAGATTTATGTACAGGAATGGCCTCTGTGTCAGACCACTGACTATTTCCAGGAAAGGGAGGGGCTCTTCGTCTAATGCTTTGTATGGGGAGGTGCCCCAGCCATCCATCCTGGTGCTCTACTAAGCTTCCCAGGAAAATAAATACAAAACTGATTTCCTTCTCCCCCAAGTTCAACCTGCAATTCACCATCTCCAATACAACAGGAGAGGTCTTGCTGATAGCACATGAGGACTTGCTCTAGGACGTAAGCACGCAAGTAGGCCCAGAAATAAGTAGCCCCTCTCCTGGAGGAAGGGTTGGAGGGAAGCTTTAACTAGGAAGCATATAAACTGAGGTGACCCACAGATACCATTGACCTTATTAACACTACTGGTAAACTCAACAAGCAAGGCATGTGTTCAGCGTGGTGGGTCTTGGGTGGCCAAATAAGTGATGGAGTGGTATTTCTAAGATATTTTTAGCTCAAGATGATCTCAGGACTTATCAACCATAGGTCAGAGTCCTACAGGCCCACAAGGATAGTGTTTGGGTTTTCCCAAGAGTTGCCACTCAAATTTATTATTTCACTTACTCCATCTACTTCATTTGCTTAACTCTTTTCCCTACCTACTTTGTGCTTGTTTTTTAAGAACTATCCTGTGATACTAGATGTTCATTTTTGTGCACAAAATGAAACTGTGTTCTTTGTACAGCATTAAATGGCACAGACACTACTATAAAAGTTAGACCTCCAAGATCCTCACACCCACCCAAACCCCAGAAGTAAATAACACCTCAAAAATGTCCCTTTTTATTCTCCTTCACTGGACTCCCTTGAGTTTCACTGAGTTCTCTTTCATGTGCCTGCTCTTGTAGGACATGGCATGTCACCCGCCCACGCCTCAACTAGTCAAAACTGAGGATAATTTAGTGGCTGCGTGGTTGGCACAGACTAGCTAGTGTCTTGGGGTTATTCAGGAAGCCCTAAACAACTGCCAGAAACTAGGTGGCTCAAGAAAAACAGCAAGTTGTTTCTCAGAATTCTGGAGGCAGGGAAGACCAAGGCATTAGCACATTCACTGTCTGGGCAGGACTCGCTTCCTAGCTCATAGACAGCCACAGGCTCTCTGTGTCCTCATATGACAGAAAAGACAAGACAGCTTCTGGGGCCTCTTTTTCAAGAGCACTAACTCCATCCATGACTGCTGCATCCTTTTGGACCTACTGGCCTACCATAAACTCCACATGCTCATATGATCATTTTGAGTTCTAAGATTTCAACATGAATTTTGTTGGAGATACACATTCACTGAGGAGCAGCAAGAGAATCATGAGTTCTCTTAAGTGTTTGGTTTAATATGATATCACTACCTTTCCCTTTAAATGTGTGTTTATAGCTAAATTGAGCATCTGTGTTCTATTAAAAACAAGCACACAAACTAGAAGGCCAAATGCCTACTTGAACTCTATTTCTCTCCATCTATTGGCTCTACTTCTTTCTACCTTATCTTCATCCAGAAAGTGAGTTTCTCTGAAAAGTGGCTATAACGGAGGTTAGGTAAAACAATGCCACCCAAGGGTAGGGAGGGAGAATACATGGAGAGGAAGAAAAAGGATAGAGCATCGACTAATGTTTTAAAAGGAAAACACTGCTTTTTACCTCTAAATTCAACTAGAAATGGAGAAGCCCATTGTTTATGTATATTGTAGTAAAAAAAAATGTTGTAACATATGTCAAACTTGTAAGTGGATATATACTTCAGATAAGAAATTCTATTTGGAAAATTATTTTAAGGAAATAATAATGGATTGGTGGAAAGATCAAGCTATTTATATTAATGAAGGATGAGCTAAGTCCTGCATGTAGTATAATACTTCGCAGGCTATTAAAATGATTGTGAGAAGAACATTTAATGGCAAGAAAAAAATGTCAATATCTATTCTGAAGTCCAAATAAGTGATAAAAGATTGTAAACACTATATGAGCCTATGTTTATTTTAAAAATACTCATGTGAATATACACACAGAAAAAGCCTGGAAACTTAAACTTTAGGGTTCATCTGTATTTTCAGTGCTGTTTTTGTGCTTTTACATTTTTCTACAGGGAGAATGGGTTAGTTTTGCAATAAGAAAGAGAATACTGAGCATCAATGTTCTTTAAACACAAGTTCATGTAACGTTCTTGGAAAGGAGCTGGGGTGTGAGGGTTGCTAAAAGGATAAAGAGACCTCCTTCTTGAACCATGGAAGGGGGGACATTGATCAAGATGCCTTGTACTCGTTAACTGGCATGTTGAAGTGTTCCTCCTTCTTCCCCTAGCTCTATACTTCCTGACAGGGGCCAATGTCTCAGGACTGCTTAAGGTTCTGTTCCTGTTTTGAAGGTGGACATAGAACCAGGGCTGTTATAGGAGACCACCAGGGGACCCTCAAATCATCCCCTCAGACTTCTTCCTTCCCACCTCAATCTTCCATGTCCTCCTTGTTAAGACTTTTTACATAAAGCCATGCACTCGGCTGTCTTCAGTCACACTTGCACATACACACCTACACATACTTATGTGTGCGTACACATATGCACTCAGATGTACACACTTGAATACGATAAGAGCAGTTGTCTGGTTGTAGGGAAATGGGCCATTGGGAACACAAGAAGGAGGTGAGTGCTTATCCTACCCCATCCCTCATTCCTGCAACTAAAGAAACAACCAGACTTTTCCAGGCTATATTCCCTTCTTTTAAAAATTGATTTTGATGTACTGGAATATAAAGAAGTATTCCAGGGGTATTTTTGAGCAGGGACTGAGAAACCATACATATTTCCCAATCTTCACTTAGCCAAAAGGCAGAGAAGTGACCTCCCCAATCTTAATATAAGGGAAAATTAGTTCCATCATTGAGAATACTTTATGCATTATCAAAGCAGAGTCCGAAGAGAGAAAACACTTAGGTAAAATAATTTTGATTCTTATATAAATCTTTATTTTCTTCATGTAGTTTTACTGGTGACTGGAATCCATTCAAATAAAGAAATGACAAAGAAGGTTAAAAGACCCAAAAACAGTAAGTAAAATTGCCATATCTTGCAGGTATCAGACTTGCATGATTGGACTTCCTCTACATGAGGTCGTTACACTTATTTCCTAGCTATGGAAGGTGGTGCTTTTGGTTTGGTTTGGGCTGGGCTAGGTTTTTGCCTGTCTCATTGCTTTGCTCAGAGACTAAATAATGATGATTCTTAGGAGTCTTATTGGTTGTCTGTATCACTCCCCAGAAAGCATTTGCAATAAGAGTCCTGATATGTAAAAGTAAAAGATATGTAGCTCCACTGCATCTAGAAAAATTTTAATTGCACATACTGAGACCAGGCAACACCAGAATCCATGGCTAAACTGCAAGAGCTTCCTTCCTGCCTTTAAAATGTTGTCTCTATGCCCCATATTAATGCAAAAGGCCCGAAAGGCATGCCCTGGGATCAGAAGGTAAACTTCACAGAACAATCTATTAGAGTTTATACTCAATCAGTAGAAAAAGGAAGAAAATAGATTTTACTTTGGGGTGCCATATCAATTAAGTTTAGAAGATAGAAAATGGAAAATAATTGGGACTTACACAAGACTAAATGTTTCTTTGACTATGTTCTGTAAGCATAATCGGCCGGTAGTTTTAAGAAGCTCCATAATCCTCAATTTCTGTCTTTGTCATTCTGCCATTCTTAACTGGCCTCCCAGGGCCCTGTCCATCTCCATCCTTCATTCCATTCAGTAAGAAAAGGGGCAGAGGACACATACTAGCTCTCTCTAAAGATATCCAGGAAAGGAGAATACCACTTCTACTTAAATACCACCAGTATGCATGCCTCACTAAAAGCAAATGATTTTATTACTAAGAAAGAGAGGAAAAAATAGATATTGGGAAATAACTTGCAGACAGAACACAGATGTCAAATCTCACATGTGAATCATGAACACACTGGGCTATTTGGATCCACATTTGTAGGCTCTCTGCAGGCTGGAGTTAAGGTGTGTTAATAAAGGACCATAAAATAATAAAGGCTTTAGAGATAGTGTTCTGTGCTCTCCACAACTGAAGCTTTCTTTATAGGCACTAAATTTGCATGTCTTGAAATCAGCAACGTTAATCAGCTTTGCTTCACACAACCACCCTTTCTCCCCCCTCTGTTCTTTTCAACTTCCCATGTGGGATTTGCTGTTGGACTTAGACCAAAAGGGCAGCCACCCACAGCCTCCTAGGCTGACACACTAAAAAGGAATCAGCTGTTTATTTATTCCTGTCAGGACCCAGAGCCAAGAGGACTGGCCCTGGGCAGATGTGTGTTGAAAACAATGATTGGGTTAATATGGAGACAAATGCACACCCAAGTGTGAATTCCATTGGGCTGTTTCCAGTATCTTCATTAACTCCTATAAGGAAATCATGAAAGGTTCCACGATTACCATGACAACAGTTTTCTGTGACTATGAAAGTCTGTGCTAAATGACCCAAGGGCAAACCCTTTTGAGAGATCTCACAGATGGATTGAATTTCTGATATGCTAAATTCCAGTTTTATTCTCAAAATCTCCCTAGTGATGCAGCACATTTGAATCAATAAATGCCTGAGGTCTTTTCTCTAATTAGAAACTCTGGCACAATCATTAAATAAAGAGGGGGGGGAAAGATACAATGAAAGTAATAGGATATTCCCAAACCAGGGAAATATTGGATTCTTTAAGAGTAATTCCAAATCACAGTGAATAGCTTGAGGCCAAAGTAATTTTCATTTTTCCCATCCAACATCGTGTACAGCTGGGGTAGGTGATGGCAGGCAAGGGACAACATGTGTTGTTCATTCAACAAATAGTCGTTAGGTGCCAGCCAAGTAGCAGGCATGGAGTTAGACAGCAAGTACAACACCAATCAAGACTCTACTCTCACAGAAGGCAGGAAGAAAGATAAGCAGACAGGCAATTATGTCATGTGTAAGTGCAAGGAGAAGAGAAAAGAGGTTAAAAGGAACCTCAGAGGATGGAGAAGAAATTGCACTTAGAAGGACTTCCAAGAGTAAACAACACACCTCCACTGATAAAACCCAAGAGAGAGAGAGTATCTTGGAACACAAAGAAAAAAAATGCATCATGCCCAAGCCCTGAAGAATAGAAAGAGCTCAAAATAACTCATTCAATTTGGATGAAACATAGAACCCAAGGTTAAGGTTGAGGAGGACAATGGAGAGTGAGCAGGCACCAGATTATGAAGGCCCTTACTACCGTGCTTGGGAATCTGGACTTCATCATAAGCCATTGGGGAGTATCTCAGTACAGGTAATTAGCAGAAATCCAAGCTCAATTTGCTTCAGTGGACAAGGAAACTTGGAGTCGTTTGCAGAAACGAAGGCAGGAAGGACAGCTGGGATTGGTCCCCAGATGGAAAGGCCACAAGACCCAACACCTCTGCTTCTCTCTGCACATCTGCATCTCTCTCGCTTTCTTTTTCCTGATCCCAAAATCCTAGGAGAAAGAAACTAATTGCATCAGTCTAGGTTGGCCAGAGTCCATCCCTGGGAGGGAGGAAAGTGGCTAGGATTGCATTAGGGGGGAAAAAAATGACACGATCTTGCCAATAACAGCAATAACAACAACAAAAACCAAGTAGAGGAATATGAAGAGAGAAGATAGAGGAGGCTATTGGTGAGTAAGAAGCATCACAGGCTTTACCTGCAGGGGAGAGAGCATGAAAGTGCCCACGAAGGCTGGATACAACGTCCCAATGTGTTGGGTAAAGTGGAAGATGGCATCTCCACCTCTGTTTCCCTGAGAGGGAGACCAGGGGCTCTGTGCTTGTCTTCTGTATACCACAGACCCTTGAGCTCATTCTAGAGATAAGTGTTCAGGGGTCAAAAGAAACACAGAGGCCTTGTACTAGAAAACAGACAGGTCAGCCTTATATTGCCTTATATTATCTTCAAGGAGTCACCCTAAGAGAGTTGGGATCCATCTTTCCTTGTCACTAAAGAAAAAAAGCCTGGCTATCTCTTCCAGTTGTGACCTCAAAATCCACGTGTGTGTGTGTGTGTGTGTGTGTGTGTGTGTGTGTGTCTGTCTGTCTGTCTGTCTGTCTGTGTGCGCGCGTGCACGCGAGTACTAGGACTTGAACTGTGGGCACTATCCCTTAGATTTTTTTGCTCAAGTCTGCTTGCTCTACCACTTGTGGCTGGCCACATCACTACTTCCAGCTTTTTGCTGGTCAATTGGAGATAAGAGTCTCACAGACTTCCCTGCCCAACAGGCTCCAAACCCCAATCCTCAGATCTCAGCCTCCTGAGAGGCTAGCATTACAGGCATGAGCCACTAGTGCCTGGCTCAAAATCTAGCTTATAGGGAGCTAGGAAAGAATTTTAAACATCCTGTGAAATTATTATATTTCTGTCTCATTACGCTTTGGGCTTAAAGAACCCAATCTCTTCAAATATGAGGATTATAGTTCCTAAAGCCCAGAGGGAGGGTTATCTTTGGGTCCCTTCATCCTTTGCTCTGTCGCCTCGAACTCCAGAGGTCAGAGAACACAAAGACCTCACTATCTTCTTAGAATACTAAAAGGAAAAGAATTCAGTAGAACTACTATGTTAAAGTCTTTAAAAAATTAATCTGCTGTGCATTCCAAGGTACAGTTTCCTACACTATACTAATTAGAATTTGTCATTTTATTTTTTTATTTTTGACCAAAAAAAAAGATGACTTTTTCAAGGCTTTTGTTTTCCTGATACCTTTCAGACCCATAAATCTAACTGCATCCAGAAGCATCTTCAAATTGGGCTGAGTCAGCATAAACCTATCAAAGCAGTTTCTAACAAATTATCAAAACGTGGCTATGTTTGTTTTCTTGATGGTTTAGGGCTACAAATGATGATGGCAGGGTATAGATTTTTTAAGGATGAACTGCATTTATGGGTAGATTACACATTCAAAACAGGCCTACTCTTCAGATTACACATTCAAAACAGGCCTACTCTTCAACTCAAGAGACTTTCAACCCATCTGGTAATAAACACATCCTATGCATTTGAAATGACATATAACACATTCTAGAATAATCTCTGCCTGGTAAAGAGTCTGTGCTGGAGGGAGAAAAGGCCTTAAGTTGTGAAATCTCATCCGTAGTTTTTCCACACATGAAGAAGCCCCAGAAGCTCTCTAGAAGCAATGGCTTTCATCTAAAGCAGACTACGAGAGCATGACACAGGTGACTGTCTCAGTGAGCTCTGACGCTGCCCAAGTCATGACAAGAGGCCCATCTGCACGTCTCTGACTTTAGTAAACATCCAATTTTATATAAGATAAAAAAAAAACATGCCCCCCCCAAACAGAGTTCAAACCCTCAATAATCCCTGTCTCCAACCACACAAAACCACACCAAGTACTCCTGGTGTGGGTGCATTTCCTCTGAATCTTGAACATATGATTCTGTCTTTTGACATCATCTATCTTCCCAACAAAAACAAAAGCATCAGCAAGGTATAATTAGTCCTAGTTGGGTACCTGTCTGGATTGATGGGCAAACAAATGGACAACAAAAAAACACTATAAAATAAAGCAAAATATGGTAAGTGCTGCATAAGAATAACAAATAACAACAATAAAAAAGAATAATGAGGCCAGGGCACCAGTGGCTCACACCTATAATCCTAGGTACTCATAGGATCACGGTCTGGAGCCAGCTTGGGCAGAAAAGTCCCCATGAGATTCTTATCTCCAATTAACTACTCAAAACCCAGAAGTGGCACTGTGGCTCCAAGTGGTAGAGCACTAGCCTTGAACAGAAGAGCTCGGGAACACAACCCAGATCCTGAGTTCAAGCCCCACATTGGACAAAAACAAAGAAACAAATGAAAGACCCACAATAGAATTCATATTGGTTGTTTTGAAATAGACGGTAGTCAGATATGAGTAGAAAGGGCCCTGCCCCACCCACCTCTATACTGAGACATTCCAGCTATAACAAGCACTCTGGGCTCATGATTAACTAGCAGTGGGTCTCACAATGGGGCAACATGTGTGCATGCCC